ATCTAAGTGATCCCTGCAGAGTTGTGATAACCAGGATTCTCAGGAAAACCAGCAGAAGTATCTCCTAATGGCCAAGTAATATAGCTCTTCTTAAAGTGGCTCAGTGTTCTTCACACAGAGGTAGTGGGGAAAGAAAGGAGAAAAAAGCTGAACCGGAAATAAATGTCTGTAACTCTTAGAACATGAGTAGAAATTAGATCCATATAACATTAAAATGGTATTTGGAGCTTCTAACAGATAAGAACTTCGATGTATTCAACTTTTTAGCCTCCACAGACTAGCACAAAGTATTTTTGCAAGTAGATACTGCTCAGCCAATTTTGTAGAATTATGTAAGAATGTGCAAAGATTATACAGAAAAATTAGATTTTCAGATATTTCTGTTCTATACTGTATGAAATGGTATTTTAGGGGAAAACACAGAAGGCAGCTTACTTCGAAATGAAAATGGTTGCAACTATAAACCAGAAGAATGTCAGTGATTAAGGACAAGACAGATCAAACAGATACACTGTCCCTTCTCTGGTTCTTTGGATCATTATTTGTGGCTATTGAATCCTCTTCTTTGAGTAGCTTGCAGTTTTTATTTTATTCAACAAATATTTTATCATTTATCATGTAACCAGGCATTGCAAAAAGTACAAAGATTAATAAAAATTGTATATGCCCTTTAATGAGGTTATAGCACAGTTTAAGAGATATTTGTGTATATGGTACAAAGAAGATGCTAAAGATCATTTTAAAGTAGAAATATTAAATATTAATATTAATATTAAGACACATTATTTTGACAGAGATTATCTAAGAAAGGCTTTAGCAAGGATTTTGACAGGTTGATTATTTGCACATATAGAAATGGGTAGAAAGACACAGGAGTTTTGGCAAGAGAACAGCACATACAAAGAGAATTTGTGATTTTAAGACAAAGGAAATGATACATGAGACATTACTAGATGATCTCCCCAATATAGGTAACTGCTAGTTCATTTGTTGACTTCTCCCTCTTCAAGTGCAACCAAAATCTAGTAGATCCGTTTAAATAATGTCCTTTTCTGTTATTGTAACTTCTCCCTCCTCTGTATGGAGTTTCTTTTTCATCAAATAATCACTATGCTCAAAGCCATCATTAATACCCATTAACCCACCCAAAGAATTCTATTTCATTAATGTCTACCTGG